TACAACCTACAGCTCATAAACAATATATGAATATATGATACAAGTCTACAACCTGCAGCTCATAACCAAAATAGGATTCAAACCTGGCTCTTGCTGGCTGTGAGAACGACTAGAAGAAAAACAGAGGAGATCGAGAACGACTAGAAGAAAAACAGAGGAGATCGAGAAGAGAGCTGGACAGTGGCTTGGGCGCTTGGCTCTGTGTAAGTCGTAACTCGTAGTCGTCGTAAGTGGCAGCTGGCTTAGTTYGAGCGAGAAAAGAGAGAGACCGAGAGAGAAAAGCGAGAGAGAAAAGAGAGAGACCGAGAGAAGAAGTCTGAACTAAGTTTAGATTTAGATTTAGACCCAATTTACTAAGCAGCCCAAAAAATAAGGCCCATGGAATAAATAAAAAAAAGCCCAAAATTTTAACCCTTGTAAAAATCGGAATATCGGACCGATTTTTCACTAAAATATCGCTCAAAATATCGCCAAATATCGCCGATAATATCGTTGGTGATATTTTGGCTGATTTTTCATGACCGATTTTTTTTTTCCGAGCGATATCCGATATATCGCCGATATATCGGCGATATATCGCGATTTTGACAGCATAGTATGGGATCCTATACATATTAGATCCTGGAGTATGGGATCCTATACAGATTATCTAACATTTCAGACCCTCTTTGTTTTTTGGATAGTAGGCAACAACTTAAAATCCTAAAACAATCTTTGAAGCAAAAGATTTTTGTATCATCTACAGACTTATTTTCAACAAAGTTGTCTGTAGCTGATTTCTTCTTCCAAAACATTTTCTTCATTTTATAATGATTACCTGATTCAATCACATAATCATTGTAATAACTGTCGAGAAATATGAGATTTATAGTTTGAAGCACCGATTTTAGAAAATCTGCTTGAGTAAGTGTTAGATTTGACAGAAGAACTATTACTCTTGCAGTTTTTAACTGAAGATAGTGACTCAGTTGAACTATCCTTTTTAGAAAACTCTTTGAGTTTATTTAATAACTGATCTTTTTTTCTAGTTATTAAAACATATTTTTTTTTTCAAAATCAGATTTCATATTCTTTTCAATAACAAGATCAACTTTCAAATCAGATAATTTCTTTGTAATCTTAGAAATTTTACCTTCAAAAACTTTTCTTTCCTTTTCAAAATCTTTCCTTTCTATCTTAAATTTCTTCTCTCATTCTCATATGCAACATCTAACCACTTTTTCTTCTCAAGCTAACTCCTTAGCTATAACAGCATTCTTCTTTGCAATTCTCTTTCTTTCTATTGCAAATGTTTTTCTTTCATCATCCAAACTCGTTTGATCAATAGCAATACTCTTTGAAAGCTCCAAATATTTCTTATCAGATTCTTTCTTTTCAGTCTCAATCTTAGCTCTTTCCAAAATAATTAACTTCTCAAATTCAGATATTTGGTCTGAAAGCTTTGTATTATTCATCTCAAGTGCCTTAATCTTGCTTTCAAGAATCTTCCTTTCAGCATCAAACTTCTTTTCAGCCTCTGTGAACTTTTCGGTTTCCTTTTCAAGTTCCTTTCTTTTAGAATTCAACAACTTTTTATTTTTCAGTTCAGATATCCTTTTCTTTTCTTCCTCAAACTCTATTGTTTCAGATTCTAAAATTTTCTCAACTTCATAAACTCTCGTTGTCAATCTAGAATTGTCCTGCATAGATCAACATTTCTTCTTTGTTTTTCACTGAGATAATCATTTTTACCAAGAAGTTTATCTATCTCAGTTTGTAAAAATTCATTTTGCTTACTGAGAATCTCATAATCTCTTATAGTCTTTTTAGCCCAACAAGGATTTGAATGGTTTCATAGAAAATTTCTATATCCTTTTCTTTTTCCTTTTATATTTCTTTTCCAAATCAGAAATTTTCTTTTTAAGTTCCTTGTTCTCTCTTTCTAACATAATTGCCATTTCAAACAATTCAAAATGATTGACTAACACTTGATCTTTAAAAACAGTTCAAAACTCAGAAAATCAGATTAACTTTCTCACAAATTCTGCTTATCGCCCAAACTTGATTGTTCAGACTACTTATCACTCAACTTGAATATCGGGCAACTGTTGCTTATCCTCCAAGTCTCTTATCGCCTAACTCCTTATCGTCCAACTCTACTAATCGGACAACTCTTTATTGGACAGAAAGAACGCTTATCGCTCAAGTCTTGAGCGATGAAGGCACTTCACTGGGTAACACTGTGACCAATGAAAAGGATTATTGCTCAATGCTTTGAGCGATGAAGAAAGGTTATCACTCAATACTTTGAGAGATGACAAAACACAGAAAAATACAAGTTCAATGGGCAATGAAGGGATTATCGCCTAAAACACTAAGCGATGAAACTAGGAAATCGGACAACGTATATGTTCAACAAGTCGATGAAATTCCTTATTGCTCGATGAATGTATTCAATGAGTGATGAAGGAAGCAGATAGAAATCGATTAAAAAACACTCAAAATCAATGAAACTTGAATAAGACTTGCACAGATTGACTCGAAATGTGTCCAAAAACAAGTTTTTGAATCCAATTTCTAGCAAAAACAGATTAAATTGGTCGAATTCATCAAAATTATCAAGAACAGTTTCAAGACTTCACGAATTTCAAAAATCCAAAATTGAAGCTCTAAATCAATTCAATTATGAAATTGATTCCATCATACTCATATATGAATAACGATCATCAAACAATCAAATTCAATTATAAATTCAAACAAATTAAGAAATTCAGAATCAAAACAGTAGCAAAAGTGTTCGTCCAAAAATAGTAAGTCTAGAACAGTTCTTCAACCAAATTCAATCCAAATCCATCACAATCTGATTCTCTAGTTGCTGTTTCTTGCTCTGATACCAATTGATGTTCCCAGGTTTAATCAATCAAAACATGAATAAATAAGATCGCATATTAAATCAACAATGGCAGAAATAGAAATGTAGAGAGAGAAAATTCTTCAAAGGCTTAGATTGATCTTCAAAGGTCTACACAAAACTAACTTGACCAACTAACTCTCTTACAACACTTCTGTTCACCTCACAAACTACAACAAAGCATCCTATTTATACATAAGGAATACACAAGTAACATAAATCTTGGATACAACATTTAAGTACAAAATATTGAACCTAACAAAGATCCAGTTGAGAACTATGTATATGTATTCTCTACTTTGAAGATTGTTAGCATATAAAATTATGTTAAAACTAGGATTTATTGTGCTTGTGTTCAGGCCCTTTGCACTCACGTAATATTATGCTTGATGAATTTATATTGTGATTCTTCAGGATAATACCCGACTTTTGCTATTCAAGAAATTCATCAAACTTGTGAAGAAGAAAAAGGAAAGATGCTTTCAGGTTTAAAGTTCATACCCCGCAATCAGATTGATAAGGTAAGCTTCATTCATTTGGTCTTAGTTTCTCATAGTTCATTTATTTCAGCTAATTACATGATGCTATAGTATACAAATGTGACTTCTTGCATTTGTATTAAAAAGCGATTCCTGAAATTTTTTAGACACTTGATGAGAAGGTGAATGATTCAAACTCAAGGAAAAGTTATAAGAAGAAAAAGAAGTCCCATCATGGTGGTTCAAGTGACGATGGATCTCAAAGAATCAAAAAAAGGTCTAGAAAGAAGTGGTATTCCTCAGAAGAAAATTCATCTTCATACTCGGATGCGAGTGAAAGTGGTAGTGAACAGGATACGAGGATACGTCGGAAAAGTAAAGGAGAGAAGAAGAGGCACAAGCGTAGATTGGACGATGAGGAGAAAGGGAAGTTAAAGAAATCAGGGAGAAGAGAATATTCTAGTGATGATGATTGTGCCAAAGAAGATAAAGTAGTTCAGAAAGACCATAAGAAGCGCAAGGGAAGATTAAGCAAGGACTCTGATGGTGACATGGATGGTACGTCTGTCAGCTGCTTATGCAGTTAGTTGAATTTCAAGGAGTCACCTTGCTTTATATTGCAGGAAATTGCGGTGTATCTCATTCCACTGAAAAGGAGAATATTGTAAGGAAAGAAATGGGACTGGAGTGGATGCTTAGACCTAAAGATAATATGGACCAGAAATCTGCTTCAACTTCTGATCTACTAGAAGAAGCTCCTGCCAAGGAGGTATACTTACATTAATCAAATTATAGGATTTCAATCTTGATTCTTATCTCTCTCCTTGGTATATCTTTTATAGGTTTGAAAAACCTGCTTTTATTCTTAAAATTAATAAAATAAAAATAAAATAAAAGTAGGCAACTTTTTAGTCTGGAGATCAAGACAAAGCCTTCCAACTTTTATTTTTGGGTGTCATGTTTCATTGTCATCATTCTTCATTTGTAGAGGACTGTTTATGGTTTAACTTCTATAGGAATGATTGGTGATTGATCGACTGTATCATCTTTATCTGTTGTGGTGAATAAAAATTGGAATAAATTTTGAATATTTGAAAACTTGCAATTGATGATGCTCTATGAAGGGACATATCAGGAAATGTGTCTTTGTAGGCAGTAGCTACTGTGGTGAATAGAAAGAAAGGTAAAAAAGAATACTTTTGACGTTGCTTGAAGCCTTGAATACATATTCCATAATCCGAATGCCTTTGCTTGTCATAGAACAACATAGCAGATCTTTTCAAGTCATTGGGTTATTTCAATAGTGATTAGCCTCTTAACAAGTTCCTTTGCTAGTTTCCACTATTGGCGATGGCTCTAAGTTTTCCATTGCCTAGGAGGATTTGCAGCTATGTAGCTGTGACACATGAAGGGTGTGTTTGGTATGCGAGACATGACACTACAAAACTTGTTGTCTCACGTTTGGCGCGACATTTGGCCGAGACTTTACAGACCTTTGCATTTTTGTCCCACCAAAATAGGTGGAACAAAAATCTTGGAGACGAGACAAGATTGGTAGATCACCAAACTAACTATGTCAAATTAAAATCCTAAAACTTTCCATACACCTGCCTACCTCACTCTGGCATGTTCAGTAATCAGTCCTATCTTGTTCAGTCCCGTCTTCATACCAAACGCACCGAATGAAACATGATCCACCCAATGCATAAAAAGTTATGTTTTTGGCTTGGAGCTATATAAATATGTTTGATTGACTGATTGCTTTGGGTGCTCCTTTGACAAACCCAGGGTTTTCCTGAGGCCAACATCCCTCGGTTTAAGTTACTTTGGTGATGCTTGTCCTTTAAATGGATTGATGTTAGGAGGACAGGGGCGCTTGAAGCTCTTGATTGTTTTTTCTGCACTTGATTTTCCTACCCAATGTTGTATCTGTGCCATGTTCTCGTTCTTGACCTCATATGAACCCCTGGAGTATACCTTGACCAACAAACCCTCAAATCTTGTTTTCTTGGTTTGATGCTTCCCTAGAAAGCTGTCTTCTAGGTGGCTTGAAGCTACTTGTGTGTATTTGGTCACCCACGTTGGCCATGGCTCTTCTATTCTCATCGATATCACTACACACCTGAAGCTATATTAATGACGTTGGATAAGATTTCTTTTCTCTGTTCAAATTTTTGATGGAATTAATATGATTTTTGAGATGGATGCACTCTAACAGAGAAATAATTAACATTAAGAGGGATGAATGGATGGGGAGACACCTCTGCTAAGTTAGCTATCAATTTTATGAGAGAACAAGAAATTAACATCACCCTTATTTATTATCTTGTGTATCAGAATGTAAATGTGCTTACTGATCTTGTTATGTTTTTTATCTTTCAAGTGCTCTTATGGCCGTTGTTTTGGGTTGTTTTGAGTAGAATGTATTTTTATTTCTGCATTGTGTACCCTCATTTGTTCACTATGCAAGAATCATGTTTTCTAGATTAAAAAGGCGAATCCCAGAGAGCTCAATCCCTACTTCAACAATGATGGAAGTGGTTACCCAGAAGAGGCAGATGGAGCAAGTTCTGGAGGTAGTAATCTGCTGTCAAATGCCGTAGTAGGGGATGGAGGTGCAAGCTGGAGACTTAAAGCTTTAAAGCGTGCTCAAGAGCAAGCAGCTCGTGAAGGAAAAAAGCTTGATGAGGTGCGTTTTGAATTAATAATCTGTCATCTAGCAAGGCATTACTGACCCTACGTTGTCATCATTATCTGCATCATCATGTGGATACATTGACAAATTGAGACTTTGCAGGTAGTTGGAGAGCGGTGGGGTTCTTTGGGTAAACTAGCAGTTTCCGTGGCATCAGCTTCTGCTGCACCATCTCATGCTCACCTTCATGCCATAAAGAATAGAATAAGACTGCAGACTAGAGAGCAGCAAACGACACCAGCTGATCGAAGTGTAAGAATTAACCAATATCCCTTTTCATTTGGCTCAGTATATTGCAATTTGATTTTTGTAATCATAATATTTTGATGGAAGGTCATTACTGATTGAAGGAAAAATACCTGTTCAAGCCACTAACCTTCGCAGAAGGGTCACTAGGCATAAAAGTCAACAAACAAGCCTTTAGTATTGGCTTCAGTTGATAGATGGCCCAATTCCATCAATTTTTGTTTCTATTCTGGCCAGGTAGTTTAAAAAATATGAGATGACCATGTTACTTTTGCATCTTTCGAAAGAATCTGGTCACTGATTATATTTTTCAACCCACTCTACAATCAAACCAGACCAAACCAGACCAAACCAAACATACCCAATATATCACTCAAAGGTAAGGTCGGAAGTAGGATGGATGCAGACCTTTCTCGATCCCAAGAGGTAGCGAGGCTGTTTTTTTGCAATTTAAATTTTGAGAAGAAAC